AATTAACCCTCGCCGCTTTCTGCTCTTCAGTCAACAGGTGGGGTATCCAACGAGAAACTAATTTTCTTAATCCTAATTCTTCATGTAAAATTTTTTGAACTGAGGTCTTTGAGATCTTCAAGGACGCCTCAATCTCGCGATATGTCACATGTCTATCTTGAATGATGAGTTTGCGCACAGCATCGACGTTTTTCTGGGTGACTGCCGTTTTTGGTGCACCCACCCTGGGATCGTCACTAAGACTCACCCGTCCACGTTTGAATTCTCCATACCAACGGGAAATTGTCGACTGATGTGGCGCTTGGTTGCCGAAAACAGACAGTAACTCAGCAAGACATTCTTGTTGCGATAATTGTCTCTGATAAATTATGGCACGAAAATGTTCTCGTTTGAGTACTATTTTTCTAATGACTTGGTGACACTTAAAAATTCACTGTAGTGAGAACACTGCACGTATTGTTGTGAAACTTTGAATTTAAGTTTACTAAAGAGCGTGGTTAAGATTCAGTACCTACTGACGTTCGATCCACGCGGCCTACTATGTTTCTATATGCAAAACTTAAAAGACATCCCTCGTACACACAGTCACCTCAAACCATGCAGACGCGACCTTGTTCGCTGCCATTTTGCATCTATAACAATAAAGCAAATAAGTAATAAATAAATAAGCAAAATACCCTACATGTAATTACTAATTATATGCCCATTATTTTGTCTTAATAACGTAATGTATTCAACAGTGTATTGGCTACCGGGAGATTTATATTTTTGTAGGCAGGTTGACGTTATAATAAGTAATTTTGAATACATTTGGAATCAATTTTAGGTACTTAAAGTTCGTCGTTTCAAAATTACTTCGCCATGTTGGTTTGATTGTGATGTAGTAGAAAAGTCCCAATGGCCGATCTATGAACGATTCTGCACTCAATCAACAATTTAGTAAATTAAATAAAATTGGTAACTGAAGTTTGTAAATACACAAACTTACCTTTTAACAGTGAGACACAATAATTTGACACACTCAAACAGATTTCTCAACACAGCCTGTACATCGAAACGTCAAATTTTTCGCAAGTTTGTGGAAATAAATGTCACAGATGCTCATCCGCCTGGTAGGTACACAATTGTTTTCTAAGCACACGGATTTCATGTCGTGACTTGTCGAAACTTGTATAAACTGCGATTGACGACGCCCGGTTTTGAAACAGCGGTTGACAGAATAAGTGAATTTGATATTTAATTTCTAATTTGATGCTTATAAATTAAACATTACATTGTAATGTTGTTTGTTCGTTTTTTTCTGTTTGTAGGCTCATATGAGTCATATGACACTCTATCCTATAATAACCCATCTCGATAAGCATAAAGTTTGAAGATACCATGTTTGCATTAAACACGGCAGATTTGAATAAACTAAGCTTAAAATATTTTGCAAATTTTAAGGTTGTCTATGTTCTTACAAGATCGGTACCATTGTACTTGTTCAAATTCGACATTAATTACACGATGCACGTTGCCAAATCGTTATACTCAGACTACTCATAGTAATCAAAGTAACGAATCCAATAAATGATTACTTTGTAGAAGAGTAACGATCAGTAACGAGTACTCGAAAGTAACGAGAATCAACCCCACTAGCACCATGGCAACGTGGCGTCGTTGTTTTACCGGCCGCGCTTGCGCAGTGGTGACCGCTGGAGGAGCAGTGGCGTGCGGCGAATGGCCATTGACGTACGGGAGACCGGGGCTGGTTGTCACATGGGTTGGTTGTCACAATTGTTAAATCTCAGCAGCTCCGCAAGATGTAGTCGCCTGGCGCGCTACACATCGTTTCTGCGTCCGCGCAGAACACTTGTATTCAGTACAAAAGTTGTGGCTGGTAGATTAAGGTCGCACACACAAAAATAAACAAATCGCCTAACCTTTCGTTTGCCACATAATTTGTGATTTCAAGACTACATTTGATAATAAAAGGAACTGTTGAATTTATTTTGCTCTTCAATAATCCGAATACGACTTAACGTAAGTATTGACTTTGAATTTGTTAATTTATTGACGCTATCTAACCTTAAAAATTGATTATCTAGTGGGGCAGGTTGTCTCAAATTAGCGGGGGTCTCTTGTCACATGGGACAACCAGCCCCCACACTAGACGATTAGCTTTGCACATCATTCTACGTAGGTATATGTATATAATGTATTTTTTTAATATTTTCAGGTTACATAAGCATGGTTCAAAATTTCAAAAGGAAGATTGAGAAGGGCAAAGCGCCGCCTGACGTACTTTTATGAGCTGCTAGATTAGTGAGATTATGATCCTCAATAAGAAAAGCGGCAGCTGACTTCAATGTAAATTACCGTACTTTAGCAAGATACTGTAAGAGAATTCCAGAGTTTGAATTACTTGATGATCGAGTTCTTGCGCCGTCAATTTCAGTTGGCTACATCAAAAATCATTTAGTATTTCGCCTGAACTCGAAAACCATCTAGTGGAATATGTACTCAAAGCATCTGATATTCATCTTGGATTATCACCTAAGGAAATACGTGGACTGGCATATGAATTTGCTAATGCTAATTCCTTGAAAATTCCGGAAAATTGGAGCTCCATAAAATAGCTGGTCCTGACTGGTTTAGTGCGCTTCTAAAACGCCATCCTGTGCTGTCTATTCGCAAACCGGAAGCAGCAACTAGTTTAGCAAGAGCCAGAAGTTTCAATAAAACGAACGTCAACGCATTTTTTGATAACTTAGCTTCAGTTATGGAAAAACATAAATTTGAGCCGCACGAAATCTGGAACATGGACGAAACTGGGATTACAACTGTGATAGTTTCGTCAGAAAAAGGAACTCTTGTTACTTTAGCAAGTTCAGTATCAGCTATTGGAAATTCCGTAGTACCTCCTTTTTTCATTTTCCACTGGTACATTTCAAACCGCATTTTTTAAATTCGGGTCCTCCAGGCTCACAAGGTTCTGCAAACCCATCAGGTTGGATGAAAGAGTCACATTTCTTGGAGTTTCTTAGATTTTTTCACCTTCATGTGAAAAGTGCCGTCAATTTCAGTTGGCTACATCAAAAATCGTTTAGTATTTGAGCCTGACCTTGAAAATCATCTAGTGGAATATGTACTCAAAGCATCTGATATTTATTTTGGATTATCACCCAAGGAAGTACGTGGACTGGCATATGAATTTGCTAATGCTAATTCCTTGAAAATGCCGGTCCTGACTGGTTTAGTGCGTTTCTAAAACGTCATCCTGTACTGTCTATTCGCAAGCCGGAAGCAACTAGTTTAGCAACAGCCAGTAGTTTCAATAAAACGAACGTCAACGCATTTTTTGATAATTTAGCTTCAGTTATGGAAAAACATAAATTTGAGGCTCACGAAATCTGGAACATGGATGAAACTGGTTTTACAACTGTACAAAGACCCGACCGCGTTATTGCCAGAAGAGGATTCAAACAGGTTGGTTCGATAGTTTCATCAGAAAGAGGAACTCTTGTTACTTTAGCAAGTGCAGTATCAGCTATTGGAAATTCCATATCTCCTTTTTTCATTTTTCCACGGGTACATTTCAAACCACATTTTTTAAATTCGGCTCCTCCTGGCTCACAAGGTTCTGCAAATCCATCAGGTTGGATGAAAGAGTCACATTTCTTGGAGTTTCTTAGATTTTTTCACCTTCATGTGAAAAGTACTGTGGAAAGACCGTGCCTGCTTTTACTAGATAACCATGGATCACATCTGAGTATAGAAGGACTGAATTTTGCCAAAGCAAATGGTATTGTCATACTCTCTTTTTACTGACCGCGCCGTTTTCGGCCCTTTTAAGACATATGTAAATATTTTCTGCGATGCTTGGGTTTTAAATAATCCTGGTAAGACCATGACTATATACGACATACCTTCAGTGGTCTCTATTGCATACCGCCTCGCATTTACTCCCAAAAATATGCAGTCTGGATTTCGGGTGTCGGGTGTGTTTCCTTACAACAGAGATATTTTCACGGATGATGACTTTCTTGCGAGCTCTGTCACTGATAGGCCAGATCCGGCTATCTTGAACGAAGCAAGAACTGGATCAAACCCGGAAACCTTAAACGAAAAGGAAGTTGGGCCAAATCCAACCATCTTGAACGAAGATGAAACTGTAAGTCTGATAAATATTAACGCGCAGGAAGCAATAGATAATATATCAGAGAGCAAAACAGCTAATCAAACTAGTTTTGATGATCCCTGCTGTAGTAGTTTAGTAAGGCTGCATACGGGAAATATAGTACTTCCAGAAAGTTTAAGACCTTATCCAAAGGCATCGGCAAGAAAAATGAATCGAGTTTCCCGTCGTAAATGAGGGAGTGCAATACTCACTGACACTCCAGTAAAATACGAATTAGATAAAGAGAAAAATAAATGCTGGAACAAAAAAAAGAGGAACAGGGAAACAGTGAAAAGAGACGTTTTTGATTCAAAAAAAAATTAAGAAATCTAAAAAAATTTAAAAACGCAAGTCCTGTTCAGATAATGAAACTGATGGAGAAGAATGTTTTTGCCTGATTTGTCTTGAACCATTTTCTAACAGCGCGCCAAATGAAGAATGGGTGAAATGCTCATCGTGTAATGGTTGGTCTCATGATGCGTGCACTGATGGACGCGAACTTTAAATATGTCATAACTCCACTAGTGACTAATTGTAAAAAAACTCTTCTACTTTTTTCTCAAAGATTTGGTGTTTAATAAGCATTTTTTGTAATAATAAATATGTTTAAAAGTATGATATCATAATTTATTAATGATCTACAATACACGTGACAACCAACCCCAAGCAATGTGACATCCAGCCCCAGAAAGGGGCAAGTTGTCGCATTTGTTTCTGTATTTTGAAACATCTTAATTTAATATTGTGAATTATTTTACAGCCTTATCGATTTTACATAGTGTTCCCAAAGGATCAACCATATTAGTTATGCACCAAATATGTGCATATAACGCTTCAGATCGAATAAAAAAAAGAATTACTGAAAATTGTGACAACTAGCCCCGGTCTCCCCTAACACTCAGTTATGGGGTCATGTTAATCTATTGTATAAGATTTGGTGCATGTATCAAGTAGATCACAAATCCTTTTTTATTGATGAAATTTACGTCAAGTTTTGTGTCCGGACACAAATGAAAAATAGGTTTTTGTAGTTGAATCATATGACACATGAAGCATTCCTTGATTTAATATGAAGATTAGGAGCCCATCTTACACAGATTGTATAATTTTTATCAAGCTTGAGAGACATTTTACAAGAAATCGACTAAATTAATTAGATCCATTACTTCAAGGACGCCTTTTCATTGATTCTGGTCAATAATTCCATCGCATCATGAACGCGCTTTTCAAAAACCCTTAATCGAACATAAGAGATTCGAAATTATTTCCACGATTTGAGAACTATGTGCTACAAAATAATTAGAAAAAAGTATATTACGTCAATTATGTCAACAGACGCAAACAGCTTATTTTGAGAATTTGAAAACATGATGGAACAACAGTTTGCTCTCATTATAAACATACATAAGTACGGATAAGCTTAGTTTTAGATTAACAGCACATTGACTCATAATTTCTCTTCTCGCTTCAGTTGAACAACCTCTTCAGACAAATCCCACACCTCCTGGCAAAAATGTTCGTTGAGCGCTATCGCTGGTCTACGTGCTGCTCCTGAAGGCATGAAAAACCCTTTTGTCACCCCCTCCATCTCTTTCGCGCATGCTAAGTACACTGCTCTCAGTACTGCTCTCCTAGGTTCCTATAAGGAAATCAAACTATACAGTATTGTGTCTGTACTTATGATAAGTAAACTGTGGGTGAGAAATACTCGTAAGAATAGAATGTCAGTAGCAGTCAAGCAAACTGATGCTAAAGCAGCAGTAATGCATAGCTTGTATAAAATCCTTAGCAGGAGTAATATTAGTCTTCCGAAGTCCCCGAACACTTGGCATCCACGCATTTTTCCAAATATAGATATCGACAAAAGTTCCAGGAGATCAAAGGAGCAAATTATTGGTGATCTCCAATATGACTTATAATTGCAGGTTACAGGGTTTGTCCGGAAAGTAATAAGATTCATTTTCTTCCGCCATGACTGTACTTCGGAGCGTACGCGCACCGACTGGATTCGGTAGAGGGCGTTCCTAGCTAACGAATAAGCGGCTGGTCAGTTGTCTCCGAGCACTTTGAGAGTCAGGACAGGCATTTTCGTACGACGTGTTTCTGTGAGTGGTGCAAGCCGAAAATGCAGCGTTCGTTAGAGCAGAGGTACGCGATTAAATTCTGTGTGAAACTCGGTAAATCTGCGACAGGTGTCGCTTTAGCAAGAAGAGGTGTGTTTCGGTGGCACCAGGTCTTTTTGGAGTGCCGGGAAGAGGTTGCTGATGAAGACCGTGCTGGAAGACCTTCGACTTCGACAAACACCAATAATGTGACTCGTGCGCGAAGTTTTGAACTCAGACCGTCGACTAAGTATTCGTTTAATTGCCCAGATGTTAAATTTACCAAAATCTGTGGTTCATGACATTGTGACACAGCATTTGAGCATGCGCAAGGTGTGCGCGAAGATGGTCCCAAAAGTGCTCACTGACGACCAGAACTTGCGACAAATGGAAGTGTGCCAAGAAAATTTGAACATGTGTGAAAGTGACCCCCAATTTTTGAATAACGTAATCACGGGCCACTTTAGGTCTATTTAACATCACTAACACGTAAAAAGAAGGTGGTAGGCAAGGACCAGTCGACCGAGGCAGTACCACCCGCTAGCTTTTCCCAGGGTGTCTTATAAATGTCCGCATGTTTCCACACCTAAGCTATGCAGTCGGTTATCTACCAAAACAAAGATATTAATGATGATGGATCCCTCGAGCACCAAGAACTCCGGACTTAAACTCACTCCACTCTCGGAATGTCCGGGTGGAGGGTGGGCTAGAGGGAACAACATCGAAGATAAAATTTGTTTTTCGAACATCTGCGGGATCAACAGCAACATTGATGCTGTTCATCACTACCTGCAATCCAATCGTCCCGTCGTGCTTTTATGGCGGAGACAAAAATCTCAGAGACTGCACCGATTAACCATCTCAACTTCCCAAACTACGAGGTGCACTCCAATCTGAGAAAGAACGGGGGAGTTGTGGCTTTTGTCCGCAGCAGTCTTTCCTGCTCCAGGGATCTTTCTTTGGAATCAGACCGGAAGGACATTCTGTGGCTTCGCCTCAACTCCAAAACATCACCCAAATTTATTTGCTGCCTTTATCGCTCTCCCTCGAACCATAACTGGGATGACCTACTCGAATACCTCGCCGTCCAGATCGACTTCCTGAACTTCAATCACCCCGCTTCAGAGGTAGTTCTTCTCGGTGATTTCAATGCCCATAATGAGCTTTGGTTGGGCTCAAACAAGACCGATTCAGCAGGTCGTGCAGTCGAAGCGTTCGCTCTTACTCAAGGACTGACCCAGCTGGTGACGAGCCCTACTTTTTCTCCCGCGTCTCGTCACACGCCAGTAGCCTGCTGGATCTCCTTCTGACCTCGCATCCTGTCCCTTACAGCACTGCTGTCCTGTCCCCCCTGGGTAACTCAGACCACGGTGTTGTGGAGGTTAGGTTTCGGTCAGAAGCCGCTGTGGCAGCAGAAACTCGTACAGGCCGCAAAACTTGGCATTACGGACATGCCGACTGGGAGGGGCTCAGAAACTTCTTCTCTAGCTTTCCTTGGAGAGATGTCTGTTCCACTGACGCGGATGCGTCGACTGTCTGTTCTTCAATAACCGAAATTATCCACGTCGGAATGGAGGAATACATCCCTCACACAGTGAATGTTCCTAAACCAGGGTCCAACGGCTGGTTCAACAAATCGTGTGACACTGCTCGCCAGCAGAAGATCAAGGCTCACACAACCTACTTACAAAACCCCACTGTAGAGAACAGACAAGCCGACGTCGAGTCCGGAAACAAATATAACGAAGCGGTTCGCAATGCCAAAAACCAGCATGATATAAAAGTTAGGCACAGGGTAATGTCGCGGCGCAATGGCAGTCGGTCTTTCTGGACGCTGGCCAAGCAGATTGAAAAGAACTTCTCACACAGTAGCCTTCCACCACTTACGTGTCAGGATGGAACTATTGTATTCGACCAAAGCCGAAGTGCTAGCCAAGATCTTTGCTGCCAACTCCACCATGGACGTCCCCACAAACGCCCAAGTGCCGTCAATTCAAAGGGTTCCCCACACTTTGCGGGAGGTAACATTCAGGCATAAGACCGTAAGACGAGTGCTCTTGTCGCTCGACGTCAACAAAGCTTCTGGTCCGGACTTCATTCCTGCCATTGTACTGAAGAGATGTGTAGCGGAGCTTGCTCCAGTTCTTTCGCGTCTCTTCCAGATATCTTATGAATCCGGCAGCTTCCCAGAAAACTGGAAATTTGCTCATGTACAGCCCATCCCAAAAAAAGGATCTAAGACCGACCCCTACAACTACAGGCCTATAGCTCTGCTTTCTGTTATAAGTAAAGTGATGGAGAGGTGCATAAATCGGGAGCTTCTGGAATACCTCGAACGTCACAGCTTGATTAGCGACAGGCAGTACGGTTTCCGGCACCAACGATCCACAGGGGACCTCCTAGCTTACGTCACGCAACTCTGGAGTAAACTCATCCAGTCTCATGGTGAGGCTCATGTCGTTGCTCTTGACATCACGAAAGCGTTCGATCAGCTGAGGCACGCTGCCCTCTTAAGCAAACTTCCATCCTACGACCTCTCAGAAAAGCTTTGCAGATGGGTGGCTGACTTTATATCTGGCCGCAAGATATCCGTCGTAATTGACGGATTCTCCTCTTCATCCCACAACGTCAACGCGGGTGTTCCCCAGGGATCGGTCTTGGCTCCAACACTGTTTCTCTTACATATCAACGACCTCCTTTCCTGCACGATCAACCCAATCCACAGCTTCGCTGATGACAGCACTCTACATGCAGGAATTTAGAGTGACAAGCCGATCTCTGCCGCTGAGCTGGAAAAAAGAAGACCAGCGACGACTTCTTCTCTGACAAGAGACCTGGAGGCTATCACTGCTTGGGGACGCAACAATCTTGTACAGTTCAATGCTTCCAAAACACAGTACTGTACTTTGACGAACAAAAAGCGTCCTAGCGCTCATACAGTTTTGATAGACGGTCGAGTTCTACCAAAGAGCCATTCATTTCGGCTGGTCGGAGTCCAGATCACCGAGGACCTGATCTGGCACGAACACATCTCTTCAATAGCTGCAGCTGCTGGGAAAAAGCTAGGCTATTTGTTTAGGGCTAAGAAGTACTTTTCTCCGCATGACCTTCTCACTCTATACAAGGCCCAGATAAGGCCTAGCCTCAAGTATTGCTCACACATTTGGGGTGCTGCCGCCCCGACTACATTGTCCATGCTCGATGCTGTCCAGAGGAGGGCGGTCCGACTGGTCGATGACTCTTCTCTAACAGACAGTCTCGGGACTCTTTCGCACCGTCGGGTCGTCGGCGATCTAGCTCTTTTCTATCGCTACACCAACGGGCTTTGCTCCTCAGAGCTCTCTTCCATGATGCCGCCGCGCGATGTGCCTGCCAGACAGACCCGCCTGACTTCGGCGTCCCATCCTAACCGTGTCAAGCTTCGTACATCCAGAACTGGCCGATACGACCGCTCCTTTGTCCCGAGGGTGTCTAGATTGTGGAACAGTCTACGGGAGGAAGCTTTTCCCAGTTCTACTAACCTTAGGCAGTTCAAAAATCGTATTAACAAAATTTCTTTGGGATCATCATAGCAGCCGCGATGTTCCGGCATTTAGGCTTCTGCCTGCGCGGCTGTTTCGAATAAAAAAAAAACAGGTGACGAGTCGTGGATCTTTGAGTATGATCCCGAGACAAAGAGACAATCTTCCGAGTGGCACACGACGGCGTCTGCTCGCCCTAAAAAGGGAAGAATGAGCAGATCCAAAGTGAAAACGATTCTCATTGTCTTTTTTGACATCAAAGGCATCGTCCACCATGAATTTGTTCCTCCTGGACAAGCCGTCAACGCCAAGTTTCACGTGGAAGTGATCAGGAGACTCAAACGAAGAGTCAATCGGTTCCAACAAGACATCGCAGCCGACTGGAAGTTGCACCATGACAACGTCCCGGCTCCCACCGCCTTTCTTGTGAACAGCTACCTGACCAAGGCCGGCATCCCAACGCTTCCGCAGCCGCCCTACAGCCCAGATGTGGCCCCCCCGGACTTTTTTCTTTCCTCGCCTGAAAAGGCCGATGAAAGGCAAGCATTTTGAGACGACAGAGGGGATCCAAGCAGCATGCACCGCGGCTTTCAAGGCTATTCCGGAGAATGCCTTCCGTGACGCCTTCAATGCTTGAAGAAGTAGCCTATTTTGAAAGTTTTTAAAGAAATGTTGTTAAATCGACTCAGTCCTATTACTTTCCGGACAAACCCTGTATCTCCGTAAATTTAAATATAGTCACCATTCTTGGCGGTTACGTCATCAACGACATATGAAATAAGTAAGCAGATCGCGCGACCGCACCATACGCGGAACACTGCACAGACATATCTTCAACGCATCTGCTACTCTCTACAGTATGCATGAAGTGGGTAACAATAGACCGCTGTTTTCATTCTCTTCCTGGAAATATTCGAACTGTCGGACTTCTCCATTTATCGTATTTCCGGGCATTGTACAAAATTATATTGAAGATTGATAACAGGACAACTCGTTATTGCATGCCGATGTCAAGTAAGTTGCCACTCTGACAAATATGATTGAAGGGCACTCTTACTTAACGACAAGGTTTTCGAGACGAAGATACAACTAAAAAACGTATGTCTTTGAGCTCACCGAACAAACGTTCAAATACAGGGGTAGGTTGCATGTGTATGTGTGAGGGAGATGGAGATAGGTATATCTATAAAGTGAAACTGGTAGTCTTACTTTGACCCGCCGAGAACTAGAGATACTGTTATACTTAGAATAAGAAGATGATAGAATCATAAACATGAGAAAACAGCAGTCCCACTTTACAAGCGTTCCAAGTACTGCCCTATACCGTTACACTTTTATTACGAGGGTAGTACATAAACAACTTAAGAAGAGCTTCAATGTATCCTATCACATATATGTCACACCCATGCCTATAATCAGAGGAACGTTAGCTTCCTACCGCATGGAAGTCACGCCCGTGTCCATGGTCACACCTGATACGGAAATACCTCGCACGGGGGAACGATAGCTTCCTACCACATGGAAGTCAGGGCCTATATGGATACCTTAATAATCGGGTACTTAGACAGATATGCCAGGTTTGTTGATTATTACGAAAAGCAGTCGAGAAACCAGGTTATTACGTTGCCGTTTCAGTACCGAAAAGCTCCGACATTACCTCTGATAACCGAGCAACATGACACCTTTAAAGTAACAATGCCTATACATATCCTGCGATGGGATACTTTCAGATTTCAAAATGCTCCGTTATTTTCCCTGGCAGACGAAACCGATCAGTAATTGTTTAATAAATTAATTTGAACTGCCAAAGACTAGTACAACTGGGAAAAGCTTCCTCTTGTATATTATTCAACACTCTCGATATCCTGGTGACAAATTAGCGGTCGTATCGACCAGTTCTGGATGTACGAAATTCAATACAGGATTGCTGCATCCCCAAGCAGTGATAACCTCCAGGTCTTTCGTCAGAGAGCAAGTCTTCCTTTTTCAATCTCACCGACCGAAATCGGCGTATCGCTCTGAGTTCCTGCATTAGAATGTTGTCATCAGCAAAGATATGAATTGGATTCATCGTACAGGAAAGGAAGCCGTTGATATGTAATAGGAACAGTGTCTGAGCCAAGACCGATCCCCGGGGAACACACGCATTGACGTTGTGGTATGAAGACGGATTCTTCCGGCCAGAGAGAAAGTCAGCCACCCATCTTCAAAGCTTCTCTAGAAGGCCAAAGGATGGAAGTTTGCATAAGAGGGCAGCGTCCTACAGCTGATCGAACGCGTTCGTGATATCACGAGCAACGGCATGTGTCTCACCATAAGACTAAGCTGGTTTCAAGGGGTGCTTCAGCGAGTTGAGCCCAACTCTGTGATCGTCATGGATAATGCTTCCTACCATAGTCGTCGAGCCGAACGTGTACCGACTATGGGATCTCGAAAAAGTGACATGCAGCAATGGTTGCGCGAAAAAGGAATCCCGTTTGACGATTCATGTGTGAAAGCGGAATTGTATGAAAAAATTAAACAGCACAAACCTGCGAACATTAGTTACGTGACTGATGAGATAGCCCGTCAATGTGGTGTCACTGTGCTGCGGTTACCGCCCTACCACTGTGAACTGAACCCAATAGAGCTCATCTGGGCTCAAGTGAAGGGTTATATTGCGCGCCATAACACAACCTTCAAATTACCAGACGTTAAGGTTTTACTTGAGACTTCCATACAGCTAGTAACGCCCGAAGCTTGGCAGAACGCTATCCGTCATGTTGTGAAGGAAGAAACAAAAATGTGGCAGCTTGACCACCACATCGACACCATCATAGAGCCAGTTATAGTCAATTTCAACGAGGAAAGCGATAGCGACAGTTTATTACTGTCAGATGTAAGTGGAAGCGACGATGAATAAAGGTAATTCCCAAATTTTTGACTTACAATATGTTTCAAACCACTCTTTATTAAGCATGTGACAAATTTAGTTCACCCATGTTAAACATTCATACCCCGCCTATGAACAGCCGACTACTGGTAGTTAAGTGATGTTCACGTGAACATCGATGAGTCATTACAGTTTTAGATAGTTATAGTATAGATGAGTTCACTCCACAATTGCGTGACATAAGCTGGGAGGTCCCCTGAGGAACGCTGGTGTCGGTAACCATACTGTCTGTCGCTACTAAGCCGTAACCTTACTTATAACGGAAAGCAGAGCTAGTAACATGTAGTTGTAAGGGAGGTTCTTAGATCCTTTTTTTTTGGATGGGTTGGACATGAACAAATTTTCAGTTTTCCGGGAAGGTTCCTGATTCGTACGGTGTTGCTGTCGAGCCATACAAGCACCCACTTTACGGGCTTATGGCATGAATGTGACTTCCCGTATAGTGCATGGAACCCTTTAAATGAACGGTACTTAGGCGTTGGGGGGTTGTCGAAATATGTTTACTAACAATATCTTTTTAAACATTCCAAGTGCCCTGTAAAAACAGGATTTCTCACATCCAGAAAAGAATAAGTAATGTGTAAATTTACAATATACATAGAAATTAATCACACATATGAGGTTCGACAATCACAGGTAGTCAAACAAGTAGAGTTAGCTGTACCATAGACTATAGATCAACTATAGGCACTAGGTCTTCATGGAGAAGCCATGCGTTATGTCTGACAATAAGTTCTAAACTAATGGTTACAAAAAACCGTAGACAAATGACACAAAAAGTGTGTGCACTATGAACTATAATATACATCAATGATTTCAACAGCAACAACTTTGTTATGTATGCAGATGATACGTCTCTCTTAGTAAATGCTACCACAGTACCAATCATAGCTGCATTTTCGACAACTGAGTTTACACGTATTAATAAGTGGCAAGTTGATAATGGTCTGACATTGAAGAGAGGAATGTCATTGCCTGTTTCATGTATACATCGGAGGATTTTTAAAGAGATGGGAATGTTGACCTTAACATGTATCTATATTTATGAGCTATCGTCACATGTTGACAAGGTCTTTATTTTTCAAAAGAGAAATATGAGATCAATGGCAGGGTAAACAAGTTGACTAGTAGTACAGAGCTTTTTAAAGAGATGGGAATGTTGAACTTAACATGTATCTATATTTATGAACTATCGTTACATGTTGACAAGCCTGTGTAGTCTAACTAATAATCACAACTATAATACTAGGAGTGCTTTAACACAGGCTTGTTAAAACGAAAAATCACCCTACTACATGCGCATAAAGCTCTACAATTAATTACCGGAACAGATTAAACAATTAAATACTTACTTACACAAACTCGTCAAAAAGAGTTGCTATACCAAAAATCACCTACATAAAAGTAGCATAAAAAAGGAATAGTGAAAGATTGAAAATTTCAAAAATTAAGGATATAATTACACAGTTTTTTTATATTCTCGGCTACTGCCGTGTAAAACCTTAGCGTTTTTTGTTTTCTACTCTTATGGGATGCCAATGATAAAGTCAGCGATCCATCTGCAAAGCTTTTCTGGGAGGCCATAGGATGGAAGTTTGCTTAAGACGGCGGCGTGCCACAGCTGATCGAGCGCTTTCGTGATGTCAAGAGCAACGACATGAGCCTCACCATAAGACTGGATGAGTTTACTTCACAATTGCGTGACGTAAGCTAGGAGGTCCCCTGTGGATCGTTGGTGCCGGAAACCATACTGCCTGCCGCTAATTCAGCTGTGACGTTCGAGGTAGTCCAGAAGTTCGCGATTTGTGCACCTCTCGGTATTAGATCTTTTTTTGGGATGGGTTGGACATGACCAAATTTCCAGTTTTCTGGACAATTTGAAAGACCTCACACTACTTGCTTGGTGGAAGTCCTTGAAAGATAACTTAAATGAACTTACAGTTGACCTTGTTCAGCAGCTTCATACAGCAGCTGCTTCATCTGCTGGGCTTGACCGTATTATTTCCTCATTTGGGATAGTCTACACCAGACTCCGTAATAAGTTGGGCACAGAAAAATCGGCAAAATTAGTCACAGTATTTTCGTGAAAAGTAGTGAAAGCTAAAAATTTATTCTATGTACATTTTCCATGATTTTATATTTTAAAAATATGGATTCAAGGCTTTTTGGTTAAGTAAGATTGATTGTATACTTTTATAGAAATTTGTTAAGTAACTAATTTAATGTTATTATACAAGTAAATAAATAGTTATGTTATATGATTATTCTGCTGCTTGTAGTGTAATAGTATCAGAGTTCGATACAATTATTAAGTTCACTCATTAGTTAAGAAAAAATTTTTTCCACTAGTATTAGTGCCCTAGTTTCATGTTTGATTAATTAATAAAGATAAAGTATATTTTTTAGCACCTGTGTGTTTTAGCCTACGGCCCTTTTAGTTTGTTTTGCAAAATAAAATCAATTTTAATAATACTTAAAAAAATGAAACAAAACTTGAATGATTCACCGACGACGAAAAACAGTGTTTAAAACATGTTACAGTTTAAAAGAAATTGATTTAAAACACCTTCATTGTTTTAAACAGTGTTTAAAACTCCCGTTTTAAACATTTTGATTAAATCATAACAACCCTGTCACCAAGTAAGTGGCTTTCACTTTATCCTGACATTGTTGCCCATATCGAATGTTTACGTACTACCCTTGTGGTAAAATAAAACAGGGTAATACATCGAAATCTTTCTAGGCGACTTTGTTGTCTTGACGTTTATCATTCTATCATCTCTTACACAAGGTGCTACGAAGTCATCAATTAATTGATTCTTTTATTTTCTAAGGCTTTGTTGTATCCGGGAAAGATGCGTGATTGCAAGCTTTTGAAGCAGTCATGCTCTATAAAATACTCACCGGTGTCAGTATGCGTGCACCAAACCATACAAGATACACGAGAGCGATATTTCCGCCTCCTTTGGTCTCGTTTAAACATCGTTGAAATATCTGAAACCATATACGTTGAATTAAAATTTTTACATCGTGTTAATCAAGTATAAGCCATAAATTTAACAGACGGTTATTTGAGTACATTCAAGACAAACAGTTCTTATAAACATGGGTCCGCAAATTCTCCGTACTCAACATGTGAAAATAAAAAAAAAGGTTTTTCGTAAAATTCTTGAATATCCTTCACCTAATTTTGTTATGATTTTGCTGAGGTAATAGAAATACAAAATTTTTGTCCCTTCATTTTTTTTCTTATTTGGCTTAGTTTTCGATAAAAAGAAGTCCACTCAATTGCACCATGTAAGGAATATGGGGAAAAGTTTATTTTGTAAATGATTGCTTTTTTAATACTTTTTCATTACTAATCATGTAAGAACAACAAATAAACACTCAAATTACATCACATCAACTTCTAAACTAATGAATGCTACTAAACCAAGGAATAGTAAATAATAATCAAAGGTTGCCTTGGAAAACGATTGCAGCATTTAGGCCCGTATCGTCAGTCGTCCCTACAATTGTAGGGCGCCTTTATGGCCTCCTTGATTGTCATAGTTTTCTACTTCTCCGTGTCAGCGCTCTATTTTGAGGTTATGTCACAAACATCTGTTTGCATCAAATTGTACTTGCTTTTGAGTTATATCATGTTTTATCAGCCTGAAATTTCCTACAATTTAAAAAGAAAACATATCTTCACAATAGGAGAGCGCTGACGCTGACACGGGACAAGTGTAATCTAGAAATTTTTGAAGGAGAGAAAGGAGTATGACAATCAAGGAGGCCATAAACGCGCCCTACAACTGTAGGGATGACTGACGATACGGGCCTTAGTAAAGAACTGGACAATCGTCAACTTAGTATCTATAAGCTACTGAATTATCATTTTTATGAAAAGTGTTTTTTTAGTGGTTATTTTTTGTTCAAAATGGTTCAATTTACTAATATTAAAATGGCAGATATGCATTTATGTTATGGAATAACCTAATGGAAACTCTAATGCTGCAAGACGCAGTTATCATGTAAGATTTCATCAGCGTGTAGTGCCTTTGTCTCAATGCACGACTTTCTGAAACACACAGTTTTAAAAGATCGACTGTTGTCGTCGTCAGGCCTGCAACGGTACAAACAGTTCAAATTGAAGAAGCTGTTTAAAATTGAATTGAAGCAAATCCTCATACCAGTACTCGGAACATAGCTGAAGAACTGAATATTACCAGTGTCACAGTGTGGCATATTTTAAGAGACCAGCAGCTATATCCGTTTCACATGCAAAGTGCGCAAGCTCAGAGATTTGCCTTCAAAAGACTAGTTTTTTTCTGATTGGTTACGCAGTAAAGTGATAAGGAATCCTGGTTTTCTAAGTGGAATATTGTTTACAGACGATGCTTGTTTTTCTCGCAATTCAATTATTAACTTCCACAATAATCACTTTTCAGTCAGAAACAATCCACACGCCTTACTAGAACAATAATCTTCAAGAACAGACCGTCCTATTGGGTCTCATTTTCTGCGAGCTAGAGTTAATGGAGAACAATACGGAAGGTTTTTAGAATTTGTTCTACCTGGACTTTTAGAAGAGGTTCCAGTCATGGTGCATGCACGACGGGGCTCCACCACATTTTACTGTAGTGGCACGACAATTTTTGGATAAAGATTACCATAATCGCAGGATTGGGAGAGCAGTCCCACACCTATGGCCCCCTCGCTCGCCCGATATGAATCACTTAAAGCAGTGATCGCCAACCCGTCGGCAAAGGCAATTCTGGAGGCTCACAACATATTTTAAAAAGGTGTTCAAATCATAGACGCTTCCGTCAATTTTGTAAATTCTCATAATAAACACAAGCAGCTTAGGTCTGTAACGGTTTCTAGACTTTGGATTTATTTACTTATTTATTTATTAATTTGTTCATCTATTTATTTATCTATCTGTCTATTTATCTATTTATCTATTTATCTATTTATCTATTTATCTGTTTATCTATTATCTATTTATCTATTTATCTATTTATCTATTTATCTATTTATCTATTTATCTATTTATCTATTTATCTATTTATCTATTTATCTATTTATCTACTTATCTATTTATCTATTTATCTATTTATCTATTTATCTATTCATCTATTCATCTATTTATCTATTCATCTATTTATCTATTCATCTATTTATCTATTTATCTATTTATCTATTATCTATTTATCTATTTATCTATTTATCTATTGTCTATCTATTTATCTATTGTCATCGATTTATCTATTTATCTATTTATCTATTATCTATTTATCTATTTATCTATTATCATTACTATTTATCTATTTATCTATTTATCTATTTATCTATTTATTAGCTATTTATCTATTTATCTATTTATCTAGTTTATCTATTTATCTATTTATCTATTTAGCTATTTATCTATTTATCTATTTATCTATTTATCTATTTATCTATTTATCTATTTATCTATTTATCTGTTTATCTATTTATCTATTTATCTATTTATCTATTTATCTATTTATCTATTTATCTATTTATCTATTGATCTATTTATCTATTTATCTATTTATCTGCCCAACAGGCTAAACCAATTACAGGGCAATATAATGATACTATTACTGTCCATAAAAGAACCACATAAAACGAACATTAGCTTTAACTATTGTAATAGTCCCTGAAGATTAACAAGATCTTTCTGATACAATCAAAATTAATGCCAGAACATAACATAATACCTTGGTATGGGAGGTACTACATTAGAAAGTTTAACCTAATGTGTTAATTTCAAAGCTTCAGTTAATTTGACATTTTTGAGCGTACGAAGTCGCGAGTAACAGCACATACCTCTATAAAACTTATTGATTAATGGATATATGTGGAAATAAGAGAACCGTAGGGTCAAGTTGTAAAATAGTCGATGCGACTAAACTTTTTGGGACTCTTTTTTCCACAAATAGAGATCTTTCACTATTGTTTTATACCCACCGGTGTGGTGGCACCAATAGGATGCCAGGCGTTAGATGTTATATTGTACTTCTTCAGTTTGTCGGCAAATATGTCAGAACATACAATGCTGAGGCACTTCGTTGATGAGTAATTATGTATGCTTGCGCCAGTTGTCAATTGCTTCTTATCGAAGCCTCTCAGATCATGGAAATAAGATGCTGGTGATGATGTAAAGAGGATTCGTGCTGAATTGGATTTCTTCAACAAGTCTGCAAAATAGTAACTTATTGAGCGGTTGCCTACCTTCTACAATGAAGCATACATAGTATAACTGAGGTGATCAATTACTAGAAAGGTTGTCGTGAAACAATTATGGAAATTTGAATCTAACTGGTGGAAGCGATTTGGCTAAAGATATTCAAAAGCGTGACACTTCCGGCTGTACCGGAAGTAAATACCAGTTAGCTTATTTCAACCGGAACACCCTGTATATTATTCTCTTTTTGGATTGTGCGAATAATTTAAGACTTGTTTCATACAGGGTGTCCCAGAATATGTGAATCAAATTGCAATGGGATGATACCTTCGATAATGACCTCTCAATTGCGGTAAAGACCTGACAAAAAAAACGTGTAACATTTGCGTTAAAACAAAAATTCAGTTTTTTTGAAAAAGTATGACTTTCGTCAAACTTTCGACGACAGGTGCCGCGTTTAGGGTTTATATTATTTTTTTTTTCACTATTATTATTAGCGAATGATTGGAGTATGAAACTACAGTTTTATTCTAAAAGTCACGTAATGTTGAAATCGCAGCGCTATTTTGGAATTTTTTTTCTGCACCAAAAAGTTTCTTGTAAGTTCGACTAACAGTGGTATAAGAAAAATGTATGGGACTTGTTTGGCAAACCTCTCCGAAAAATAGCCCAGTTAATGAAGATTCGAAAATGATACAAATCAGGTAATTTACCAAAACAGAGTAGGAGAATAAAAATTCTTAGAGTGCAAGGGCGAAATGGGTCGAATTTCAGAATTACACTTTTCAAATCATAATTGCTTTTCACGTTGATCGAATGTTCAAACTATTGTTACACAGCTCAATACTTGTTTAAAAAAGTATAAGAATCAAAAACTGGTGTTTCAATGTAAGGTAAACTTAAGAAAAGTACTTTCAATTTCCAACTTTAATCAACCAAAAACATCAATAAAGAAGTAGCCAATTACGATTCTCATAAAAGATGTTCAAAGTGTCTGCCACCAGTACGCATTCACAATGCACATCTTCTCAAAAATTTTTGTTTTTGGCGCCGCAAGCTCATAACAGAAATTTGTTGTGCAGCCTGGTTAATACGCTCTCTTAACTCTTCCAGGGATCCAATCGGTGTGTTCGGTCGCGAATAAATTTTATCTTTCAGGCAACCCCAATAAAATAAATCTGGAGGGTTTAGGTCTGGCGTCCTTGGTGGCCATAGAATTGGCCCCAGACGGCAAATCCACCGCCTAGGAAAAGCCTCATCAAGGTAGGCCCTCACTTCACGTGCAAAATGGGCTGGGCATCCGTCATTTTGTAGCCATATTGTTTGTATTGAATCATCTGGTTCTTCTGCTAAAAGTCTCGGCAATATGTCTCTCAATAGTTCTAAATAATTTGCCGAATATAATGTTGCGGGTAATTCCACTGGACCCACAATTCTGCCGTTAAAAATCCCAGTCCAGAAATTGATTTTGAACGGGTACTGAGAACGGTCCTCTCTTATTAAATGAGGGTTTGATATTTGCCAGCTATGTAGATTGTGGAGATTTGTGTAGCCATCTTCCTTACAGGTGGATTCTTCACTCCACAAAACTCGATTAAAAAAGTCGGTGTCTTCTCGGCTTAGCTCGATCATTTTTCGGCAAAATTGTACACGCGGTGCATAATCTCTATTTAAAAGAGACTGCACTTTTTGCACGTGATACGGATGGTATCTTAACGTTTGCAGTATTCTGTGTGCCGATGATCGTGGAATGCCAGTTCTTCGTTCAATAGCGCGCAGCGACGTCGACGGATCCGTTGTTACGTGCTCTACAACAACATCGTCGTTATGTCTCCGAGGTCTTCCTTCACTAAGAGGACCACCAGGAAATCGACCCTGTGAGTAAGCTTTGTGTACTCCTAAAAATACTCCATAAGCTGGGTGCTGACGGTTCGGATACCCCTCAGCGTAAATCCTGGCAGCTTCCCTGGCAGAATAACTTGCTCCACCTCTAGTGTTAACACGCCTTGTTTCTCCATAAACAAGATGCATGTCAGCATACTCGCTTGCCGTGTAACAATGTTCATCTGGTCGTCGATTAGCCATAATGTGCAGAAAATCAATTTCCACAGTAACGCCAAGTCGTTGAGATTCATCAAACAAATCCGAATCACGAGCAAAAAATGTTCAAAGATCGTAACAGTTAAATCACAGGAGACATTAGAACACAGGTGTAGCACAGAGCGTCAAACGTCGTACTGAATAAAAAGGATGAGAGTGAGATCAGCATCGCGCCGCCGCGGGGGGCCCGTTCCGTCAACAGTTTTTACCTGCGCTGCCGGCCCCTGCCCCCCTTCTTTAATTCTGGGAATAAGTGCGACAACCGGACATTGAAACAACTTTTTGATGCCGATTCTAAGGTTTCACACAATGATTTGAACGTACAGGCAATTATGATTTGAGAATTGTTATTCTAAAATTCGACCCATTTCGCCCTTGCACTCTAAGAATTTTTATTCTCCTACTCTGTTGAGGTAAATTACCTGATTTGTACCATTTTCGAATCTTCATTAACTGGGCTATTTTTTGGAGAGGTTTGCCAAACAAGTCCTATACATTTTACTTATACCACTGTTAGTCGAACTTACGAGAAACTTTGGGATGCAGAAAAAAAATTCCAAAATAGCGCTGCGGCTTCAAAATTACGTAACTTTTAGAATAAAACTGTTTGTAGTTTCATGCGTCAATCATTCGCTAATAATAATAGTGAAAAAAAATGAAAATAAACCCTAAACGCGGCACCTGTCGTCGAAAGTTTGACGAAAATCATACTTTTTCAAAAAAAACTGATTTTTTGTTTTAACGCAAAGGCTACACGTTTTTTTGTCAGGTCTGTACCGCAATTGAGAGGTCATTATCTAAGTTATCTCCCATTGCAATTTGATTCACATATTCTGGGACACCCTGTATAAAGCATGCTAAACCTTCCATTACTACGACTCCTACTCCGACTCGGAGTAGGTGGTACTACTACTACTACTATATAAAATGTTGAATCACCTCTACAAAAAAGTTGACTTGAGACCATCATTGAGTACCACCAGATTCAAGCCCGCCAGCCATTCGCCAAGAGCACGTTCTCTTCTATTCGTGATAGGGAAACCCCATTCCACCGACTTTGCATTAAAGTCACCTAATACGTCATCGCAGTACCGACGTCCTCACCTAGGTTTCCCAGGAATTTCACAAAGTTCTCGATAGGGATATTTGGGGCGATATAGCAAGAGAACAATGATAATTTGCTAAGATGTATGCAAGGGATCCGAGCTTCCTTTCAACAGACTTTACGGCCAGGTTCTTGTTTCTGAGATATGCTGCGACATCGAGGTTTAGGTCCGCCTGCCACCTGGCGTGAGAGTTTTACGATTTAGTTCAGAAACTAGTAGTAGATCGACGTCTTTTTCCATGATGAAAGCGTGTGCCATGTCGTGCGCTGCACGAGATCTATACTAAGTGACATATAAATCCGAACACCCAGTTTAAATGGTTTTATTTTAATAAAATTTTGTATAAGTACTTAATGAAGCATAATAAGTAAATGATAAACATTTCAAAATGATTGCATTGCTTTAAAGCCCTTTGACCTTTAATAATGTGTGGATGCACCCTGATGTGCTACGCATTCTCCAACGCGCCTAGACATGCTTCTGATCAGGTGGTCAATGTCCTCCTGTGGTATCTCATTCCAGGCAACCACCAACTCCTCTCGAAGTGCTTCTAGAGTCTGAGGAGGACGTTGCAAATTGAGCAATCTCCTACCCATCATATCCCACACGTGCTCAATTGGGGATAACTCGGGAGATCTTGGTGGCCATGGTAACAATGTGACGTCATTGTGTTGAAAGAAGTCTATTGTGACTCTTGCAACATGTGGTCGGGCATTATCTTGTTGGAAAGTTGGATCTGCCACGGTGTCAAGATAGGGTAAAAGATGGGGTTCTAGAACTTCGTGGATATAACGCTGCGCGTTCATGTTACCTCTGATGAAGATTAAAGGTGACCTGGAACCATAAGCTATAGCACCCCAAACCATAACTCCAACAGTGTGATGAACATGTCTTTCAACAAAAAACTGTTGATTCCTCCTTTCACCACGTCGCCTTCTAACCCTGGCACGACCATCGTGCATGCCTAAACAAAATCGAGACTCGTCACTAAAGACAATACTGTTCCATTCCTGATCCCAGAGTGACCATTGTCTGCACCACTCAAGGCGATTACGTCGGTGTTCTCGAGTTAAAGGGAGGACCCAGTGTGGCAGGTATGAAAACAAGCCAAAACTTCATTTATTTGCAATGGACCTGGTAGTGGAGAAACGGTCCCTTAAGGCCAATAATCTTAGGCGGCCATCTTCACGGTCTGTTGTTCTACGGCGGCGTCCAGTGCCCCTTGCTCTTTGCGTACGGCCTTCTCGAAGCCATGCCTGACAACACCACTTCTTTGCACTCTAACTGCAATTGCCCGAAAAGAAAGTCCAGCTTCCCGAAGTCCCACTATACGGCCCCTATCAAACTCACTAAGTTGACGAAATCGTACAGGTCTCCATACTCTAGGCATCGTAACCGATCGTAAAGGATGTCAAGAACCAAAATCCGCCAACGTTGATTCTTTACTGCGGCTGAAATATTCATTTTTAGAGCGTTAGTGAATTAAAAAAAAGCAGTATAAAAACCGGAATGTCCAACTGATAAGGCTGAAAATGTTTTCACTTGTTATTTACAGTAAGATAAATACATTCACCAACTTTTATTAAAATAAAACCATTTAAACTGGGTGTTCGGATTTATATGTCACGTGGTATATTTAGGTTTACTTATAGTATTTTAAGCATTTTCTGGTAATGCTTGTGTTTGGGTCTCGCTTTCTTCCACCTTATCGTCATCCGCATCCGTTACCAATGACCTTAGTCTCATGCGACTCCTCTTTTGAACGCTGCGTAGATCCTGGCCATATAAATATTCGACAGTCGTACGAACTGGCTCTGTGACCGGTCGAATCGTATATCGGGCAGTAGACAGCCTCTTTGCTATCTGCCAACTTGAATCCCTCTTTCCCGCAATTATGACACAATTTATTTCTGTCCACTCCTCGACATTCATTGGCTAAATGCCCCGTGGCCCAACATTGACTACAACTCAGGATGTTCACTCTCTTCTGTATGTGGCACAGCACGAAGCCAATTCGTATGCGGCCAGGGCTAGCAAACGGGTTGCAAGTTTCCGCGGGCAGGTAACGGTCGCCATTTGGTTCCCAATCTTTGTAGGTCTCAGTGATTTAGCCTCGACGCTTTGCCTCTCGTCTAGAATTGCACCTCTAAGGGCTTCCTCCACCCCCTGGACCGAAGCTACCCCATCTATGAAGCGTGCTTCTTCCACTGTTCCTAGCTGACATTACGTCGTTGCCAAGCTCACTAATGGCTCTTAGCTGTTCAGCTCCTCCCCCCTCTTTAGGCACCGCGAGCACAAGTTCCCCTTTTCTGGTTTGCCTTACTCGATTTACTGTCACTCCAAGGCCATTTATCTTCACTTCGTCCTTAACCTTCTTCAGGAGTTCGGAGTAGCTCAAACCTTTCGCAGACACTATGACATCCTCCGTTTTGCTGTCAGTGCGGCCTGCCTTAGTCCTGGGCCATTTCGTTACCTATTCATGGTCTTATTTTTATATCCACAATCGTGCTCTCAAAGACAAACTCAACAGTTTCTTAATCTTGGTACACGAACGGCTCGGTCGCAGAAGGGGTTCAGGTGCTGGGGTCTCAGAGCGTACATCAAGGCTATCTCTGGATACACCACTATTTTCCAGGTGAAAATCTTTGCGATTCTGGCTTGTGTATCTCACATTCTGGGAGGAGGGTGGGTATAGGAGAAGAATAACAATCTTATCCGACAACCAGGCTGCAATGAAAGCACTAAGTGCCTGTAAGATTACTTCGAGTCTTGTATTGCAATGCAGGGAGGCTCTGGATTGTCTTGCAGTGAGGCATCCGGTATCGTTAATGTGGGTACCGAGGCACGCTGGGATAAGGGGCAATGAGACGGCTGACACTCTGGTGAAGACAGGATCAGCCAGCAAGCTCGTTGGTCCTGAGCCAGCTCTAGGAGTGACCGCGCATAGAGTTAGGAGGAAAATGGAGACGTGGATTGCAAGACAACACTCTCAGAAAGGGAGAAGTATCTCCAGACATCTCCGCCAGGTACGGGAACTCATTGAAGAGCCCAGTGCTAAGGATGAACGTTTCTGCTTATCTCTGGATAGAGCCAACCTGAGGTTGCTGTATGGCCATAACATGTTAAGGCGCCACCTGCACGTGATTGAAGTGGCTGTGGATCCCTTGTGTGAGCACTGCGGGGTAGAGGAAGAGACCTCGGCGCACGTGTTGTGTCGCTGTGAAGTTCTTACTGTAGGCAGACTATACTGGGGTCCATTACTTTGGATCCTCAGGACGGTCAAGGAGCTTGGACTCAAGGTGATTCTCAACTTCGCTAAAAGAGCGATGCTTTTGATCTAAGGAATGTAGAGGTGCATACGGGTTTGTTTAAGCGGCCTATGCACTGGCTTCTTATGGTGGCCGAACTGCCTCTAATTTCACGATTCATTCATTCATTAATTCTTAGCCCTGACCTTCACCTCTAGATTTGGTATAGCGACAGCAATACTGGGACGATTCTCCTCTACTACCAGATCTCTGAGTTTAATCAAATGTTGATAAGTCTTGTTCTCGTCTTTTTCCATTATGAACTTATATATACTAAGTGACATATAAATCCGTACACCCAGTTTAAATGGTTTTATTTTAATAAAAGTTGGTGAATGTATTTATCTTACTGTAAATAACAAGTGAAAAAATTTTCAGCCTTATCAATTGGACATTCCGGTTTTTATACTGCTTTTTTTTTAATTCACTAACGCTCTAAAAATGAATGTTTCAGCCGCAGTAAAGAATCAACGTTGGCGGATTTTGGTTCTTGACATCCTTTACAATCGGTTACGATGCCTAGAGTACGGAGACCTGTACGATTTCGTCAACTTAGTGAGTTTGATAGGGGCCGTATAGTGGGACTTCGGGAAGTAGGACTTTATTTTCGGGCAATTGCAGTTAGAGTGCAAAGAAGTGTAGACACTGTGGTTAGGTGTTGTCAGGCATGGCTTCGAGAAGGCCGTACGCAAAGAGCAAGGGGCACTGGACGCCGCCGTAGAACAACAGACCGTGAAGATCGCCGCCTAAGATTATTGGCCTTAAGGGACCGTTTCTCCA